GCTCTTCCCTCTCATCCTCCCCCATGCACGGCCCCCCGGTAGCCGAGGCGAAGCGACAAGAGACAGCACAGCCCCCCATAAGCGATGCTCGAAGCGATCTTCTTGCTGCCATTCGAATGGGTAAGCGGATCCCCCACATTCCCCGTCTCCGTTCAGACAGGGGCTTCAGCCTCCAGCCAGCTACAGCCTAGTCTTCCAGAGACTATGCGCTGCCGAGATTGGTTTTTAGAATATGGTTAAAGGAGCTTTATTTGATTTTTTTTTTAAAAAATAGATGCGTTTTATGCCTGTGCAAAGTAAACTCATCATGCGCAGAACTGAGATTTCAGGAAAGCTTTTCTTGACTAGAAATAGATAATACAAGTGATTAATTGACTTTCCTCTGAGTCCTTCTCTAAGGGCAAAAGTATAAATGAAAGGAAATGAGCTCATGTTGACAATTTTGACTTTTTAAAATACCTACGATACATCCTAGACTTTTCATATTGTTAGCTTGATGGGCTGAGCCGTCTGCAACAGCAAAACCCTCGTGAGATGAAAGAGGTAGCGTCTGGTCAGATCAGGGTCGGGGAGCCTGGCCCCTCACCCATCCCGGCCTCCCCTCAGAGCCCCACATTAAACGTCTGCTCCAGACCAGGTATTCTCAACCCCGGGTCACAGCCCAGGTTGGTTGGGGGGCGTCACTGACAGAACGTGGAGATTTTCCCAGAGCTGCTCATGCACCCTGGGGGGCTGTGCCGCCTCTGGCTCACAGCTTAGTTGGTTCAGTCCGGAAGTGCCTGAGGGAGCCTGGCTGCGGTGACACCCTTCGTGGGACGGGATGGCCGGGACGTCTCTGCCTCTGCCTTTCTACCTGAACCCCCGCGAGTCAGGCCGAGTGTGGCGCACACTCTCTCCCGCAGCCCCCAGGGTGCCGGCCCATCTTGAACGTCGCTGGCACTCTGATTTTGTCAAGGAAAAATGTCCCGGAGTTGTAACACCTCACAGATAATGAATTTGGGGTCATGGTAGGACAGCGTTTTGCTTTTTGACACCGGTGAGCCCTCTCCAGTAAGAGTGATACATACGGAGATCGTTAGGATCTAATCGTGAAGGAACCTATGCTGAGCCCAGATCGAGGGCATGCTAGGAAAACGTGAAGGTCACGGACAGCAAGGCTGAAGAACTGCCCAGATTAAAGGACACTAATGAGTCCGCGGCCGTGCCACCCTGAACATGCCCGATCCCATCTGATCTCGGAAGCTAAGCAGGGTCGGGCCTGGTTAGTGCTTGGATGGGAGACCACCTAGGAAGACCAGGTGCTGTAGGTGTAAAAAATAAAAAATAAGGGATTGTAAGCTGACAAGGTCCTTGCAATTGTTAATAAAAGAAAATTTTTTTTTTAAATAAATAAAAATAAATAAATAATAAAGATTACTAATGAAACGTGACAACCTACGTAATGGTTGGTCCCGTGCTGTTGGTGACAGCCTACGTAATGGTTGGTCTCTTAGCTGGCAGAGACCATTTTTCGTATGCTGTTTTAGGTCTGTTGGCAACATTTAAATTAAATTTGTAGAATAGATGGTAGTATCGTATCTGCGCTAACAGTCTGATTTTGATTTGAAATAAATTTTTAGGAATTATAATTGAAGTACTTTAGGAGCAAAGAGCTAAGTGGCAAACTATATGCCACTTATTCTCAGATGGTTCACAAAAAAAAAAAAAAAGCGTGTGTGTGGATATTAATGACATTGATAAAACACATGCGATCAGACGTTACCAGTCGGGAAACCTGGGTGTAGTAGGTTCTATGGTTACGTTTTTACACTTGTCTTGCAGCTGCTCTGTACATCTGAAACTATTTCAAAAGAAAAAGTTAAAGACCTTACTCATTAAATCATCACATATTCCATTTCGTTAGTTATCAGGTGCGAGTAGACGGTTATGTTTTATAGGCATTTACCGCTTGTTTTTTCTGTTTTATTGATTTATTTACTTCGTCATGAAACTCCTATTTCCCAAGCTTTTCTCTCCTCCCGTTTCTAAAACGTCATCCTTGGTGTCCGTAAGGTAAAAAAAAAGAAAAAACGTGGAGACGTCTCAGGGCTCAGACTCAGGCTCAGGGCTCAGGGCTCAGTCGCTCCCTGCAGCCGGGGCTGAGCTCTGAGCCACGCGTCCCGCCCGCAGGGATCCAGCTGAAGAAGGTGCAGGAGCAGCGGGAGCAGGCGGCGAAGCACGAGCCGGCGGGGGACGACGTGGCCACCATCCTGTCGCGGCGCATCGCCGTGGAGTACAGCGACTCCGACGACGACTCGGAGCTCGAGGACAACGACTGGTCCGACTGAGGCGGCGGAGGGCGCGGCCGGGCAACGCTCCGTGGTCTCGACGCCCGGCTCGTGGTACCCTAATCCCGTAGCTTAGCAACTTTTATACTAATGATGTGTTCTTGCTTTTGCACATCCAAAAATCCTGGGTTTTTTCAGTATTTACTGTGTAATACTTAAGTGCCACTACCCGTAGCTGCCCACGGGCAAACACGCCCAGCGACCCGCAGCTCGTCCTGTCCCCGCGGGCCGTGAGCGTGGTCAGTGCGGTTTGCGTTCGCTGCTCGTCCTTCTGCAGGCTTGCTGCGTGCTCGTGAAGCTGCTCGGTGTTGGGCCTCTGCCAGACTGACAGTGACCGTCAGAGTGATGTCTTCCAGTCAGTGAGGGACACTGTTTCACCTTGCTGTGTGTGTGCGTGTGTGTGTGTGTGTGTGTGTGTGTATTTCAGAAGAAGGTGGTTCTAGAAAGATGTAACACGGAAGGAGAGTCGAGTGCTTCCGCTTCCCTTTTCCTGCCGTGGCGGCCTCTGAGTCAAATGTGCTGTTGAGTCATTTGCACACTGTAAACCGTGAACTTGGCCGGGCCCCTTTGCAGGCAGCGTTCCCCGGGGCCGTTCGCTCGGTCAGCGCCCCGCTGGTGACTTTTGTAAGAGGTATAAGCGGCTCAGGTGGAATGAAAATGAAGAACAGGGTCCTTTTCCTTCCGAGGCCGGTGGGGATGGCACGCGGCAGCCCGTGGGCTCGGGCACCAGCGGGCGGAGCGGGCGCGGGAGGTCCAGGAGCCGCAGAGCCGCGCTCGGCCGGGATGCGGAGGGGACCTGCGCGGGCCACGTCCCAGAGCCGCATCCTAAGCCAGGCCAGGCCAGTGGGAGTTCCTGGCTCCCCAGCGTCCTGCCGAGCATGCTCAGGGGCCACCTCGCGGCACTCGGCCTGACCGCCGAGAGCCCAGGCGTAGGCGGGTGTAGACGCGCACAGCTGTTCACTTTTCCTGGTGCTGTGGCCACATTAGGGACCCATCACAGGTGGGGCCCCCGCCTGCCCTAGAAGCACACGGCTCTCTCTCCTCACGCCGCCGTCGGCACAGTGAATTTTAAGCGCACCTCAGATCAGATCGGCCCGGTCCTTCCGCCTCTGCCCTTCCCGCTGCTCTTCCCACGTGGTGATGAGTGTCGCGTGGGGCCACGTCCCCCGCGCAGGCAAACCCTGGGGCGACACGGGGATGAAAGCTTCCGCTTGGTAACTCTGGCTGAGGGATAACTGCCAGGGTGTAGACGCGCACAGCTGTGTAGACGCGCACAGCCCAGAATAAGCAGACACCCCAGGCTTCGATGCTAGCCCGGACTTCTCAGACACACTAAGACACTTTACCTCCTGAGGACGCCCAGGCCCGGCCTTGCACACGGTGGGTCCTAGCGACACCCGGTCATAGTGAGCGAGCCTTTGGCTAAAGACAGAGTTGTTTGTTTTGTAAGCAGGACCTGAACTAGTGGGGTTTTGTTAGCGAGTTCACCCGAGGAAATCAGCCAGCGCCCGCCCCCCTGCCCAGTCACGTCGGTGTCCCTGAGTGGACACTGTTCGCTTGTAGGTGGACGTCATTTAAAGCCTGCGCGTTAGGTTTCAGTAACATAGATTTCGAAACTCCGAAAAGTCTGCATCCCCTTCCAACACCCTGCTGCCCCCTCCTTCCCCGGGGCAGGCGGGTCCCAGCTGTTCGGGCATATGCTGCTCGAGGATGTTTCTCGGGGCCAGTCACCATGATTTTATCCAACGTCGGTAATAGTTATTAATGAACTTTAAAATTTTTCTCTTTAATTTCTCTTTTCTTTTTTTTCAACATAGAAATCTCTTTTGTTGGCGTTATTCCTGAGACTTTTGCATTTTCGGTCTTATTTTGTTTTGATAACAGTATTTTTGTTTTGTTGTTGTTGTTGTTTTATAATATTTTGTCTTTATTGTTACGTTCGGATTAGGAGTTACCTGTATAATTCTGGAATGTACTTGGAGATACTTCTTTGTTTATGTTCCCTCTGTTCTCAGGAGAGAGAGAGCACGTGAAGCTACTATCGCGTCAGGATTTCTTCTATTTATATCTTATTACCATAAAACCAGTGGCACTTTATTCATAAATATTCATAAGCCTATTAGTTGTCTTTCTATAGTTTAATCAACGTTATTTTCAACTCGATTTTCTGACTAGCGAAAAAGCTTTTACCCCGAGGTGTCATGTAGCCTTTAAAAGAATAGAAAAAGCACTAAAATCCAATTCAGATTATTTTTGCAGTATTTTTCTCAGCAGGTTTGACTTGTTCTAAAATTTAAATGCAGACTTTTTCTAATATGGTATTACATGGAAAGGAAAAAGTGACTATTTTGAATTTTCGGTTTTCACTTTCAAAAAGTATTTACCAATGGAGAAAAGCATTTAAAAGCATATTTCATATCTATGAATTTTACATTTTAAAGTACTTACGTATTATAAAGTTATTTTAAATTGTCCCCAGTCTTTCCCCTCCCCCCGTGTGTATTTTAGGTTTAACTTCTTGGAAGCTTTTTCCTCGTATCACAGATGAGGTAGAGGGGACAGGAAGGCCACACTCATCACCGCCCGTCACCAAACACAGACATGACGTGGGTGACTTTCTGTCGTTAGCCCCAGACCCAGCCATGAGATTTGGTGCACTTAACGCTTTTCTTTAGTACAGTTAGAGAATTAACACTTTCGTTTCAGTACATTTTTAGACTATCAGTCAAAACCCTCTCTGAGCACCAAGTGGCTAGATTGTGAAAGTTTTGTAATAATTTGCAACTGGAACACACGGCACACTTTAATCCATTAAAGACTAGTGGGAATGTACCAGCCAGAGTAGCAAGTACTTTTTGTTTTTTAAGTCGGAGTATCTGTCATCTTGCAGTATTACATGCTGTTGTAAATTGAATTTAAAGTGGTATTAAAAAAAAAAAAGATCTGTTAAACAATTTTTATCTGTTTGTATATCTTATTATAGATTATGTACAAGTAACATCTAAATAAAATTACACTTTTAACCCTAAAAGTTTTTGCTTGTTTAAAACCATCTTGTGAACGTCAGCCATTGCTGTTACCTTCAAGGAGATGAGGGAACAAGCCCGTCTCTGCCTTCATGGAGCTTTTAGTCTAGAGAGGAAAGACATTAAATATTGTCAAGTCAGCATGTAAGGTCATGTCACGTGTGCTGTAGTTGGGGGTGCCCGGTCTCTGTGGGTCGAGGGATGCCGAGGTCTGAGAACGAAGAGACGTTCGCTCGGGGCCGATGGGAGGGGACCGAGCTTCTTAAGAGCAAGGACGGCGTCCGCATCCCTAAGGCGGGAAGGACAGTGTGGTGTTAATGAAACCAAAGGGTCAGCGGAATGGAGAGGGCGAGAGCGAGCAGTGTCCCGAGCTGGGACCAGAAGACGGCGGACACCTCCCCTTGTCCAGCCCGAGGAGGGCGCTTTGGAGCCCACAGAAAACCTCCACGTTTGCCGCTTGTGGGTTATTCGCCGACCTTGGCGGCCTCGTGCGTCAGAACTGACGTCATATGTGGAAGGCCTCTCAGTGCTCGGCTGGTCCAGCTCCTCGGTGCCGAAGATGGGGAAACTGGCATCGCTTGCACGGCTGGCCCTCAGGGCTTCATCTCTTCGCCCAGATTTTCAAACTATGGTCCTCCTCTGTCACAGACCTTCAGAGCGAGGAATATATCCCTCTCCCTCTGCAAGAAACCTACAAGATAATTGTTCAGTCAATGCGCGCATACCCATATCTGTCCATCCATCCATCCATCCATCCATCCACCCACCTTATTTTATACATTTCAAAGTAAGTTCCACTATACTTCATCCTTGAACACGTCCACGTACATAGCGTAATGGAGAGCAGTAGAGATCTCTTAAGTTCTTAGCCATGCTGCTTTGGGCCTTGCTCATTTCTGGCTACGGGATCAATGAGAGCTGTGGGCAGTTTTACCCAGAACTTTTAGATCCCCCTCTGGCTTTCCTTCCTAGGATCCCCATCCCCGTCCCTTTCTATCTGCTCTGGTCACTCTGTACTTGTTTTTTTGTTTTGTTTTGTTTTGTTTTGTTTTTTTTAAGCCAGTAAGACCGGGTAAGCCAGCAAGCTGGTGGGTTCTCTATTCAAGAGGAGCTGTCCTGCTCGGCAGGACAGAGCCTGTCTTCAGGGAAAAAGCCATTTAAAAAAAAAAGAAAAAAACAGGAAACGCACCCAAAGTTTTTCCCTTCCAAGCATCAACTCCCCTCCAGCATCTTTCTGTTTTTTTTTTTTTAATTTCTCTCAATGCCTACAGTGGTCGTGAGGTGTATTTCGTTTGGTTTATAATTATCTGTAAAGAGTTGGTCTGGAGTAGGCTAGTTCTCCATTTCCAGGTACCTCATTCTATAAATATTTGATGCAATGTTTATTTTAAATGTGATTTTTAAAAATGTAGGCTGTTGTCGAATACCAAATTAGAACAGATGAGCCACGTTTCAGTGTTTCTGCCAGGAGAATTTGTTTTTGCAAGGACCCCGCGATAAAACGTGTGCCATCTTTATTTAACGAAGCGGTGCCCAAGGATTCCACGATGTCCTTCGAACCACTTGCCCCGTGCACCTCGGGTCTGTGAACCAGAACAGTCTCTAAACCGTGCAAGCAAAACACAGTGCATCGATAAAGTGGAGACCGACACTCTCCTTTAGCCAATTGCCAGCCTTAATCCGTCTCAAATGTTGACGTCCACCAAGTAACAGTGTTTCCACGAGTGTTATAAAATTAAAATTAGGAATACATCTATACGAATAAAATAATATATTTTATTTGGGGGGTTCATTTGTAAACAGGGTCCCACTACCTAAACGTTTGGAAACCACTGCATGATGTCATCACACCCCGATTTTCTTATCTTTAGACCAAGAAGTATTCACGCCATTACAGCACACGGCTCCGCATTCTGGGAAGACAGCACCAATACAGAGGTGTGTGGAAAGCTTGAGAAGGCTTACCTGTTTAATTTGGAGGAGCGAGTAACTTGTCGAAGTATCTTGACAGCGACTTAGATGATAAGGAGATTTGCTTTCAAAGTACGCTGGCACCTGGACATGTATTTGCCAAAACACAATAGCGCTCGATCGTGAATATTTGCATATGTCATCTTTCTGAATCCCCCTGCGGCCTGCATCCTTCTACTTGCGATTTTAGTAATTAGCTTCAAATACAGCACCAGGATTAGTGAGAGGTGATGAATTGGTAGATGGTTTGCCAGGAAGAAAAATTAAAATATGCCCTTTGAGAGTCATTTAAAACCTACCAAGTCGTGCTTGCCATGAAGTGACATTTAAAAGCATTTAATATTCTGGGATGTGCTTCAGCTGTTCAGGCCTAAAACCAGTTTAAATAGGAATCGAGCAGTTGGAGAGCACGTGGCCTCATGTCCCGAAGACGTGTGTGGAACTCAGCATTTGCATGGAGAAGATGTCACCTGTCTCCTGAGTACTGACAGTGGCTCGAAATTACCTTCTGCCCTTTGGAAATCAAGACTGCGATCTTGGTAATTAAGTTTAGGGTGTCAACTTCCAGCTCCTTTGAAATGCCTTTTAATGTTTCGGGGGCCTACGCATTCGTTGGATTTGCAAGTGACAGAGTTTCCAGGACATGTGCCTCCTCGCCGTCTGGGGCCCAGAGGCGCACGGTGAGCGAGTCACACTGGACGGTTCCCATCCGGAGCCCCCGAGACGCTCTCACCAGCCAGTGCCCGCGTGACAGCAGCTCTGTCGCAGGTCCACCTGGGCACTCGGCCTCATTTCCGCCGGGACCAGGCGTAGCTTTGTTGGGGCTCCAGCCAGCCCTGTGCGTCTCTGGGTGTCTCCTGCGTCACTCCACCCGCATCATGCTCCTGTAGCTGGGCTTCCGAGCCCTCACACCCGTCACTGCCACCATCCAGCCTTACATCCCCTACCCCACACC